TCAACAATATAAACAGAAGATATGTTCTTATTATTAATAGCCAAATTAGGTACAACTGTTATTACATTAAGCTTAAAAAGCCCATCACTCATGTAACTTCACCCCACATACATTCCACTCTTGGAGAGTACAACCTTATCAGATTCAAAGATTAATCTAAACCCATTCTTGATCAATAATGACCCAGAAATCAAATTCTTGCGAATCTCTGGCACATGGAGTACATTGTTAAGAGTAAGTTCTTTCTCTGAGGTCATTTTCTGCACGATCTTTCCTTGTCCTTCTATAATTGAAGTGGAGGAGTTTCCCATAAAAAGTTGTTCCCCACATTCCACCACTTTGTAGGTTGTGAACATATTCTTATCTGCACAGATATGACAAGTTGTTCCAGTATCCACCCACCATTCCTTGGGATTGCCCACCAAATTTGCCTCAAAGACTACTGCAGCAAGATTAATGTCTACCACTCCATCAGAAAGATAAAAATCCTCGGCTATATTGGCTTGTGCTGGCTTTTTGCTTGAACTCCCTCCGTCCTTGTGAACATGACAATCCTTAGCACGATGTCCATCTTTGCTGGACACAAAACACTTGCATTTGAACCTCTTGTTGAACCCGTTGTTGATCCCTTTGTTGATCTTACTAGTGGATCCTTGTTTGGGACCATTGCCTTCATGCTTCTGTTTCTTGTTATTGAACTTTAACCCTTGTTCATATTCCACAACATTTGCTTTAGCCTCCATGACATGGTTTCTTGACTTCTTGTCGAAACCACAGTTGTCCTCCTCAATTCTGAGTCGCACTATCAGTTCCTCTAATTTCATCTCCTTGCCGTTATGCTTCAAATAATTCTTGAATTCTTTCAAGGATGGTGGCAATTTTTCAATGATTGCCGATACTTGAAAAGATTCACTGAGAACCATCCCTTCCACATGCATGTCATGGAGAATTAATTGAAGATCTTGAACCTGGCTAATAGCCGTCTTGAAATCCATCATTTTAAAATCTAGAAAATGGCCGACAACAAATTTATTTGTACCGGCATCCTCTGTCTTATATTTATGATTTAGAGATTTCCACAGTTCTTTAGCAGTGTTTTGGGCTGCAAACGAACCGAGCCGAGCCGAGCTTTGCTGAGCTCGAGCTCGGCTCGTTTACTTATCGAGCTCGTTTATTGAGATCGAGCTCGGCTCGATAAGGAACTGGGCTCGAGCTCGGCTCGGCTCGGCTCGATAAATTTTTTTTTAATATTATTTATATTATTTAAATATAAATATTTAAATAAAAAATGTATTTATATATTATTTAATATATAAATAATATATTTATCATATAATTTAAATAAAGATATTTATTAAACGAGCTTAATATTAGAGCTTGAGCTTGGCTTGTTTACTAAACGAGCCGAGCCGAGCCGAGCCTTTAACGAGTCGAGCCGAGCTTGTTCATGAACAGCTCGGTTTATTTGCAGTCCTAGTAGTGCTTTTGACACTATAGACATTGTATAGTGTATTGTCCAACCCATTGAGGATATAATTCCAACACAGAAAATCACCATGTTTCCATGCATCAACCGCGGCAATCACTTGCCGATCAGTTTCTTCTTCATTCAGTGCCGGAGCCTTTTCATGAGTGAAGCGAGCCAAATTCAATGTTGTAAGATAAAACATCATCTTTTGTTGCCATCTTTTAAAATCATTTCTATTGAATTTTTTTGGCTTCTCCCCATGATTTACCAATAATGCCGGAGTCATCATTGGCACAACAGGTGTGGGGGTTAGAGTGATAACAGTCTCAGTATTGTTTGTTTCAGTAGCCATATTTCTAAAGAAATAATTAATGTACAAATCACAAATTTATACATAATAGAAATTACACACAAAATATACATAATAATATTTTGTAACAAAATTTCGATAATAAATAGTTTATGACTACTATGTGATCAAAGAAATTAGAGTATATAACTACTATTTAAGAAATTGAACAGTATATGACTACTATTTAATTTCCCAGAACAAAATATTTGTCTGTCTAACACACAAATAAAAACAAATATGAATCTACTTTAAGATTGTTATACCCAATGGTGTGTGTAAATTAAATATATAAATAAAATAAACAACAAAATATAAATAAATAATTTAGAAATTAACTCTATGAATTAATTTTGAATTAAATGCTTACAGAAATTTTAAACGTTAAGGCTTGTGTTGGACACAATCTCCTTAAAGTAGATTTTTCCCTCGCTCCGGTGCTTCGAGATTTACCAGCGTCTACTTCCCAAGATGCAACGGCTAACACTTGATTTGCAGCACTACAAAATCAAGTCTGGCGAACCAAAACTTTGTTGTGACTCTCTCTTTTTCTTTCTAAAAATTAATTGTAGAACAGATGCAGAAACACGGAGATGAACAGAAGAAGAAGGAAGAAATTTTGAGGGAAAATTAAATAAAATGAATTGCTGGATGGCAGGCTTTATATAGGAGAAATAGTGGCTTTTCCGAACAGGTACCAATAGGAAAAACCTATTCGGAACAGGAACAGATCTATTCAGAACAGAAACAAATCTGTTCGGGTGGACTTTCTAAACATGTTCGGATGTGGACCTTGTGAACCTGTTTGGATATGTTTTGGTAAAGGAAAAAAAAAAAAAAATAAAGGGACCAATTTATTTTGAATTTTGAAAACAAAATTTAAAAATAAATAAATAAACTACAAATGTTTTTGGCCCAAAAAGATAAGTATTAGGCCGGACAAGCCCAACCCAACCTCACACCACGCACCCACGCCCAAGCCATCCCGACCGACCAGACGGCGGCGCGCGCATGTGATTTTTGTCTTGGGTCCGATGGATCTAGCCCACTTTACCCATAACCTCACCCATCGACAAACTTAGGTACCCCTTGGGGCCCATCCCAACTATCCCAAGCTGGAATATATATACCCATATAAAGCCTTAAGCTTTTTCAATGTGGGACAAGAACATTTCACAAATGTGAAAGAAACCCACCTAAAGCCATATCCACGAACTCGAAAATGTGCGTTGAACTCTCTTTCATTAGGAAATGGTTTTGAGAAACCAAATACACGATGTTATTCACTACGTGGCATTAAACATGAACCCAATGAAAAACATCAACTATAACGCTTGAGTCTCACCTTAATTAATGCTCAAAGTTAGCAAAAAAATAAGGATTTTCCAAAGCCATTTTCCAACACTAACATCATTAAAAACTATTAATTGATTTCATTATGTATTAATAAAACGAGCGATTTGCTATGAAATTAGAAATCTCAGAGGATGGAATGTAATTTCTAGAATCACAGGAGATGATTCGTATTTTAATCAAACCTCAGGAGGTGTATTTGTAATTTACCCTTATTAATAAAAGGGGCGATCTGTTATGAAATAAGAAATCACAGGGATGGAATGTAATTTCCAGAACTACAGGGGCAATTCTTATTTTAATCAAGCTTCAAGGGATGTATTTGTAATTTATCCATATTTTTTTTAGATCGGGAAGAAAATCTTAATTTCAAAATCAATAAAAAAATCGGATCAATCTCTTACAGTGGTAGCAAAAGATCTCATAAAAGGATAACAAACTTCCATAAGAGGAAGAATCCTAGCCTTCATAGGGGAAGAGAAAAAACTCTCACAAATGAGGGACACAACCTCTACACAGGAAGGATTATTATAGCAAACACTAAAAAAATAAAAAAATAAACCGAAAATAACCAAATCCAAGTCGCAAAACACATCCAAAATGCCATTACACTGCAACTTTCAACTTGAAATCTGAAGACCCCACCTCCGCTAATCAAGATAGAACATTGAGGTTGAAGTGGTCGCCTAGTGCGTGAAACAAATGCGTTAAACAGTGTAGGTCTTTGGATTGTGAGAAGATCTAAAACTAGATCTTAAAGTTTTGAGCGCAAGCGTAAAAGTTTGGGTGCAAACCAAACATCAAATCTGGAAGATCGGAAAGAGGGAGAGGCGATGCCAACACTAGTGGCCAAAGACAAATCTAGTGAAGAAGGATCCATGGAGACAGGAAGATGGCACATCTGGTGGCGGTATAATAGTGGCAGCACCAAAAAGTGTTAGAAGGACAAGCTTCAAATATTATTAAGCAAAAAGAAAAAGAAAAAGAGAAAAAAAGAAGTGAAAGGAGGAGAGAGGAGGCCGGCACCCGGAACCCCTACTTACCCCTAGCAGCACACCTAGCAGAATGCTTAGAGAGGGATGCTTAGAGAAGACATTCACAATAAATACAGTCTATTAATTTACTTTTCTAAATAATTTTGTAGATTTTTTTAAAAAAATGTATACTATTGCTGTAATTTAGAGTTCACACACACGCATGCATGTGGTATCATTGTCTAATTTTAAAACAATACCCATAATCTGCTGTTTGTTCATCAAGATGGTTAGGGGTTCGGTACCAATGTCGTACTTTATTTTTAATGGCTGGGTGTTTGGACCGTTTATGTGCACCTCAATTAATCTCAATACCGATGTCGTACTTTACCTTCTTTTCCATCCAAAACTTGTCAATCTCCATAGCATCATCTCCCTCTTCATCACCATATATGCTTTCTCTTCTCTCCTGTTACAACATGTGTCGCCCGCCCATTTCATGAGACCATATCATGCAATGGCTCATAGATGGCTGAAAAGAGGCTGGATTTTATATTTTCATTTCTAGTGGTGATATTTCAAAACACGAAAAAAAAAATGGTAATAATGAACCAGAAACCCAAAAAAAAAAAAAATAATCTATATATATAAATGATATACAAATTCATTTTCTAGACTCATATTTTAGACTAAATAATGAATTGACTAATAATTAGAGAATACATCAAAGAAAATTATCTTTAATATTCTAATTGATTATCACATCAATCGGTTTAAAAAATTAATATAATTTTTGAGTTAGGATTGCAGTAACAATATATATATAAATATATTACTTAACATCGGTATGTGGAGATTTTTATATAAATATACGTAGAGCTCTTTTTATTCATTGCAGAAGCATTACTACAATTTATTTTTCTTCAATGTATGCCAAATTTATTACAAGGTACTGAAGAGCTAGCTTCCATGTCTGCTAATTTTTTTTTTTTTTTAGCATCCTAGCAGCGGAGGTTATTACCAGGCGAAACGCCAAGTTGGTTGCAATAGTCAATGTAGTACTTAACACGAGCACTGACTGAATTCGAGCCTTTACCATTGCACTCAAGGTCACCATTGATGGCACGAATTGTTGCACCAAATCCAGATTTCATGACAGAGTGAACATTTTTCATCCAAAACCACAAGGCGGTCTTGAACGACACAACTGGGTCTTTTGCCACAATTTCGGGGTTGTTTAGTCCATCGAACCCAATGCTTCTGCCTGCAGGACCATAGTTGTAGTTCCATGACAGTTGAAGAGGACCTCTTCCATAGTATTTCTTGTTTGGTGCACATGGGTACTGGGTATTTGATCTGTCACAGTAGTTCCTAGAGGCACCATTTATCTCTTCAATATAGCAAAAATCTGCCAATAATAAAAAAAAAAAAAAAAAAAAAAAATTGTGTTAGTTATGTGTGATATTGATTTCACTCCTACAGCAAACAGGGACGGACCCAGAATTCTAAAAGGGGCGGATATATAAATATGATCAATTAACTTGCCGACTCTTCCACCGTTTTTTCTTCTCTATACATTAAGGCTTGTAATTGACACTAGTTATCAGAAATTAGATAGACAACCACTTAAGTTTAAAAAATATATAAATATATAAATATGCAGGGGATGTCCACTTAAAATTTAAAAACAAAAATCTAGAAGGGGCGAAACCAATATAATTTAGAAACAAAAAAATAGTTAATACTATGAAATCATAAGTGTGGATTGGGAGAAAGCCATGTAGAAATCTTACGTCCAGTCTCATGCGTGGCATGTGCAAAGAAAGCAGCAATTTCACGCTTAGAAGTAGTGCCGAATGAAGGGTAGGAACCGATGGCTTTAAGAAACGCAGACCTGGTGTAGAAGCTTTTCCCTGCACATCCAGCAGAAGCTTGTTTGATTATCCCATTGAAAAAGGACTGTGTCACAATATTAGAGACCGAAGCACCGTTGGAACCGGCGAGAATTCCGGCCAGAATGATTGTCAGTAAGTAGGTTTTGAAATTGAATGACACCATTTTGGAATAAAGTGTGGATAGAAGAGAGGTGTACTATGGGATGAATTTAAGGTTGAGGGAGACATGTATTTATAGTTGCACAATGAAAAATGCTATGAAAATTCAAATAAAGGAAAAACTATTAATAATTATATTAATGATGGGGTGGTTGTGGTGGTGGAAGGAACGGGGTGAAGGTGGTGGTTGGTGGCAGTGGCAGTGGCAGTGGCAGTGGAGGAGATGATGACACCGGAAATGCAATGGTATATATAGATGGTAGTTGCAGTGTGGTGATAAATTTTAATTTAAAAAATGTATTTATATTTTAAACGTAAACAATATTTCTCTCAAATCTAATTTTTATGCCTTTTTAAAAATAAAAATATTTTCCATTCAGATAAGTTTATTATCTGTTGATCATAAAAAATATAAAAAAAATATTTGTTTGTTCAAAAAAAAAAAGGATTTTTATTTTTATTCATTTTCTTCTTTCATTAACATAACATCAGAAAGTAAAAAAAATAAAAAAATAAAAATAAAAATAAAATCTAAGAAATATTGTTTGCCAAACAAAACAGAGTGGTTTTTAAATTACAGTTTAGCATGTAATTATCTGCAATTATCTAGAACACGAGTAGGAGTAATTTTTCTATTTTTCTTTTTTTTTTAGAACCTCCTTAGTAGTGTGTTGAACCAATGACATACTAAATGAAATAGGGAGAATTATATAACAGTGGAAAGATAAAAATATACATATATAAATGTGATAAATATTATAAATATTAAAATCATAAATTTTTTAATTTTTTATAAATATTTTTTATTTTCTCTACTGATTTGTAATTCTCCATGAATATATGGTCTTAAAAAAAATCCCAACTATACGGTCCAATCCGACCTACTGTAAGTCTATTTGGGTCCGTGTTACTAATCTAAACTGCTTATTTTGTAACTCTTTGAAAGATAATGCACACCAAAATCAAATTAATTAAACATCAAGAACCACTCAATCGGATCACATTTATTTGAAAAATAATTAACATACTACATTTAAAATTTTATTATCTTTCCAAAATGAATAGTTTAAATAATCGAGACGAACCCAAAATAGGTCTATAATAACTAATTGCGGAAGTAATGTAAGCAAAAGATGAGTTTTTGAGTATTTACAATGCTCTATTATATTGGTTTCAATACCAATTTATAGAATACATTTGTAGATACAATCAACAAAAGTCCAACAAGCTATTACTCTAGAAGTCAAAAAGCCTACACTTAGGCTTATTAATTTCTTTATACTAAAGTTTAAAGGCCTAATCGTAGGCTTACACCAATTTTCTACACTATGTATTTTCACAAACAAAAAAGTCTTCAATATAATAAATACAAAGACTAGTAAATACATATGCTATGCAGTCCCCCTCTCTTGTTTTTTGAAAAAGAGAAATTGTTTTGGGTAAGATTTGGCTAATATTATCTTTTCATTGTTGCTGTAGATGCTACCACGTGTGTTGGATAAGAATGCAGTAGGTCCGGTATATTTGCAATATGTCTTCATGAGCCCACTATGCTTCCATCATATTGTCTAGATTGTGCATGAAGACACAATTTTCGAATAATGGAGAATCTTGTGGTAGACTCCATTATTTTATTTTATTTTATTTTTGAAAGCTTCCACTTCATTAACTTGCATTGCCAATTCTAGAGGAAGATCTAGCAAATTTCTTTTTGCTAGATTGTTGAGAAAATCTTCTGCTTCACTTTGTTGCGTAGCAGTTCTTGTATATGAAATTGGCTCCATAGTAACAAACAGTCTTCTTCCATCAGTTACCATGAAAGGCAATTCACTGCAACTTTTTATGCTTTGTGCCACTTGGGACAACAATATTAGGCTTTCTACCCAATAATATTTAGGACAAAAGACATTAATTAGTTCATAAGGATTAACAACCTCTTTCTTTGAATTTATTAATGGTCCATCATGAGCTAATTTCAGTCTTTTTCAAGTACCAAATTTAATATGGCTGATAGAATTTTTCCCTTTCACGCCATCCAATGGTGCTGACAATCCAAAAAGTGAAATATTTTTCCATTTGTAATTTTTATTACTTTTGAGAGCATTGCATTGATCATCTCTGGAAAATCTTTTGATTGTATAGGGCAAGAACTTTGAAGAATAACTTGATTAGTTGGTCTATAGTCAATTTCTTCACAGACCTTCCAATCATTATCCTTATAAAACCATTCTTGGGTATCTAAGAATAATGTTGTTTTTGGAATATCATCTTGTAAATTAATATTATCAAAAGAATTTGTTTAATTCTTTCACAATGAGCTTCTACTTTATCTTTAATGAGTCAAAAAATTTCACAGGGAAGAATTGTTATTAATTTTTTAAAAAGACAAATTCTTCTAATTGTTTTAAAAGAGAGATTTGAATATTCTTGGTTTATGAATTCAGAAATTTGAAGAAAAGTATTTATTTTTTCCAAATTTAAAATCTTGATCTGAAGTCATTTGTTTAATGAGTTGGAAACAAAGTTTTTGTAACTCATTTATTTTAATGGTTTGTTCCACTAATTGAAATGATAAACTAGACGTTTGTAATCTAAAACCTTTTTTGTTTTCGGAAATGTGGGCTTTCCACACACCATGTAAGACAATATAAATTTTTCTAGGAATACCAAGATTAAAAAAGTCTTTAATTTCATATTCATCTGGTTTAGATTTTTGAAATTCAATAGGGATTGGATTGGTTTGCTGCTGCTGAAAAATAGGCAACAATGGAGCTATATAGAAAGCCTTTTTAGCTTTTGCCAAACTATCATATGCTTGATAGCAAATTCTAGGGAACCCCACAACTTGCACATTGCAATATTTTCAATTTGTGTAAATTCCAGATTGTCTACCTGAAAAAACAACACAAACTTTTTTTGTTTTGGGGATTTTTTTTTTTAATTGTCACCAATTCTTTGTCGGACTCAGCGGGCTATTTACCCTTATTCATGGTTGAAAAGAGAAAAAACTAGTTAGTGATTTTTGCTTAAAAAATTTGCAAGAAAATTATTAGTTCCTTTTAAACGTTCAACTGCAGAAGTATATGTAGCAATTTCATTATACCATTGAAGTCACCAGCCTTCTACAATATTTTTCTTGTTAACTAAAAAAATCTTTTATCGCTCGATTGCCTATTCTAACAATAAAGCATTCCGGAGCAAGATATATACGGAATCTTTTTAAAGCAATTTTTATTGCTAAAAGTTCTTTTCCAAAAATAATATATCTTGTTTCAACAGATTTAAATTTGCCAAAATTTTATCCACAAATTAATTCATAATTCTGAGTTTTTATGGAAATAAGTTTTTTCCCTACTTTTAATTCCATAACTATTTGTTTCTTCAGACTCGGTCCAAAATTGAGGAGGTATTGCTTTTAATACACATCCCCAACATAAATCTGAGACATCCGTTTCAGGCATAAGTTTATCTCCTTTTTTATGTAAATAAACTATAGGCATGACTGTAATACTTTCTTTAATTTGTTTAATTAAATTGGTATCCTCTTTTGACCAGCAAAATTGTACATCTTTCTTTAATTTTGCAAATAAGGAAAGTTCTAATTTTGTTAGATTTTTGGCATAATTTCTCCCATAATTAAAAATTCTTAAAAAACTTTGAAATTGTTTTACTTCAGTTAATTCATCTAGAAATTCTTTTACTTTTGAAATAATATGTTCTTGTAATTTTTGATCCTATTGATATAAAGATTAATCATAAAAATTCTATTTCTTCTTTTTCTATTATTGACGAAAATAAATTTCGTCACCTATTATTTTTACTTTTTTATTATATGTGACAAAATTTTATAATTCGTCACCGATTATTCTTATTTAGTGACGAAATTTATTTTCTTCACTACTTTCGTCACCAAAGGTTACTTAGAGAGCTAATTAACTTGTGTTTTATTTTGAGAGAGAGAGAGATAGAGAGAAAAAGAGGGGAAAGGAAAATTGATAAACAATAAAGAGAGGGGGGCAGGGGAGAGAAAAAGTTAGTAGTCTATTTTTTCCATTACCGCCCAATATGTCAAAACTTGCCCTTCCAAAATTAGTGACAAAATAATTTCCTCACTAAAAAGCCTCAAAATATTAAAAATTATTAGTGATAAAATTATATTTCTCACCAAATGGTCTTAAAATATTTAAAATCAAGTTTCTCAAAAAATATTTATATATATATATATACAATTATTGCTGACGAAAACATATTCCTCACTAATAATTTTATAATTGGTGACAAATTTTTTTCTCACCAAAAGTCGCAAAATTTTGGCGCCACCAAAAAAAAATTAACGGAAAAACCTTCGGTGACGAAACTTAATTTTTCCTCACCTAAAAAGAAGTATTTGTTGACGAAAATAAATTTCGTCACCTATTATTTTTATTTTTTTATTATATGTGACAAAATTTTGTAATTCGTCACGGATTATTCTTATTTAGTGACGAAATTTATTTTCTTCACTACCTTTCGTCACCATAGGTTACTTTTGTTGTACCCATAATCTGCGGTTTGTTCATCAAGATGGTTAGGGATTCGGTACCAATGTCATACTTTATTTTTAATGACAGGGTGTTTGAGCAGTTCATGTGCATCAAGATGGTTAGGGATTCGGTACCAATGTCATACTTTATTTTTAATGACAGGGTGTTTGAGCAGTTCATGTGCAGCTCGATTAATCCCAATACCCATGTCATACGTTGCATTCTTTTCCATCCAAAACTTGTCAATCTCCATAGCATCATCTCCCTCATCACCATGCTTCCTCTTCTCTCCCGTTACAACATCAATATGTGTCGCCCGCCCTTTTCATGAGACCATACCATGCAATGGCTCATAGATGGCTCAAAAGAGGCTGGTTGAGATTGGTATGTGGAGATTTTATATTAGGGCAGTGGTGATATTTCAAAACACAAAAAAATGGTAATAATGAACCAGAAACCCAAAAAAAAAAAAAAAAAAAAAATGTACACATAAACTCTCTTGCCATTTTACACATAAATGTTAAAATGCCAAGGCTCTGAAATTTTTCTTTTAATTAGGAACTGTAGATATTCAAATAGTTAATGGCAAATCTAACTAAAATTAAACCCAAGGTTCATTAAATAAAATTAACTGTACTATTTTTTTAAACAAAGATTACAACCAAATACTTAAGCAGATTTGGAATCAAACAGAGAGAGAAGGGGAGAGGCAAAACAAACAGACACAACAGCTGTGATGTGCTTAATTTTTGAGTGTATGAGTTTAACATTTTAAAAAATTATAAATGACTTTAACAGGCTTTTTTAACACTAATTAATATACTTTTAAACCCTTCGCCCACTTATCATCAGGTTCACCTTCACCACCGAAGCCATCTTTGGCACCTCTCATAAATGACGTGTGAACGGAAACACTATAACTTGACTTGTAATTTAAATCAAAAGTGATGGGGCTATTTGCCCAAAACAGTCAAATGAAAAATTTGGTGCACAAATGGAAAGTAGATAATTTACAATAGTCAAATAAAAATAAATATTGGCCCAAAACAACAGTCAATTGAAAACATACACCAAGGAAAGATACATGCCCAATCCATGCATAACACAATCATAGAAAGACACATGCCCTGTTTGTAGGTATAATTAACCACTAATCAGGGAAAGATACATGCCCTGTTCGCAGCTTGAATTATGTTTCTACTTCTTTGTTACCATTTCCCAAAAAACTTTCTTGATTACTAATGAAAAAACAACC